CCAATCAAGGCCCATGTGGGTGGTGAAAGCTTTCCAAAAGAGAGATTTGCAGAGGACACAAGATTCTCCAGGCAAGGGCACTGGTTTTTGCAGTGAGGCCTGGGGAAAATTGTCCTCAGAGTCACATATGTGGTCAAGTTACCGAGGGGCCAGTCCTCCTCTTCCCATACACCATTTCTCTGAGTGCTGGGGAATGTGTGTTTTAACAAGCCATCTTCCTCCTGTGAAAATAGCTTCCTTCCCTATTATTTTTAAGATGTCATTGGTTTTAAGATCTTTGACACCACATTGCTATAGAGGGTGGCTCGGGGATCTACATTTTCCATTTGTTATCTGGGAGACACTTGCATTCATGAAATTTGCCAACACACACTCAGGAGGTTGACCACATAGTCTAGGAGGCAGATGCTGGGTGTCCCAGTTTCCTTTCTGTTGATGCAATAAAAAATACCCTGACGAAAGCAACTTATGGGAGAAAGGGTTTAGCTCACAGTCCAGGGTACAGTCCTTTATTGCGGGGAAGTCACAGAGGCAGGAAATTGGGACAGCTGGTCACAGCACATCCACTGTGGAGAGCAGAGAGAAAATGAATGCTTAGTACTCAGATACCATTTTCTGCTCTTACACCGTCTAAGTCCCCAAACCAGGGAAAGGTGCTGTGTACCTTCCGGCTGGGTCTTCTCACATGAGCTGAAGTGCTCAAGACCATTGTCCCAGGCTTGCCCACAGGCCAACCCGCTCTAGATGACCCTCACTGCGATTCTCCTCCTGGATGGTTCTAGGTTGTGTCCTGCTGACAGTTAACATGACCCATCACACTGATCCCTCTCCAGTGTGCCCTACAATTCTGTACAGAGGACTCTAGGAACTCAGTTTGGAGTTTAGGGGACTCAGTTTCCCAGAAAGGGACAGAAAGAACATCAGCCCTGTCTGGAGAGGGCAACTCGGCCGGGTCTTCTCCTTCAGGGAAGACAGCATCAACAGTGTCTGCAGAATCTGCAGAACCCTGTCCTCCCTCTGAGTCCACTTAGGATGCTGGCTCCCGGAAGCTTGGGGCTACCCCTTGGCTTCCGACTCACTGAGCTCTTCCCACACCATTCAGCCTGCCAACCTTACAAAGCTCCTCTTCCAAGAATGTCCTCCCCTGGGTAATTGGACCCTCAGGCCATTGACATTTAAAGAAATGTTTTTGACCTTTTCAGCGGTTCTATAAAATCACAAAATAGAACTCTAAATATTACTGCAGTCTCCAGCTTGCCCAGATCCTGGTGGAGACTCATTTTCCAAGCTAACTCAAGAATGAGAGAAAATAGCATAATTGCTCACAAAAAGGGGTTTCTTCTCAAACTTGCTCCATAGCATTATGGGCTGCACCAACTGCACCAGGACTGGCCTCTTCCACCACCATCCCAGCCATAGCACCAATACCTCTTTTGTTATTGTCACCTAAATGATATGATTGACAATTGTTTGGGGCTTCCACTCTTGAATCATCACCGTGATAAAGATCTGCTTGCAGTTGAGATGTTTAGCCGAGCTGTATGAAGACCTCTTCCCCAGGCTCCTTCCACCATCCATGTGCAACTAGAAACAAATGCAGAAGGAGCAGTGTGTCTCGAGGGATATCCAAGAGAGAACAGGGTCATGGGAAGGGAGAGTAAATGTGTTAAGAAACTTTTTTTTTTAGAAATCTAATCAACATGAAGGTGAACTAGACATTAGACACCTCAGAATAGCTTCTTATGTGACTAGAGATCGGATGAAGAGTAGAAACCTATGTTGTTTCTTTGTTTCCAAAGAGCAATTTTGCCATCTAAAGTAGGAGGTGACAGACTCACCTGCAGATTAAATCCAGCCCTGATGTTGAAAATCGTTTTTTATGGATTTTAAATAACAGCTTTGTTAAGGTATAAATTTTCTCACGAAATTCATTCTTTTAAAGTACATAATTTATCAGGGCTTTGGGGTAGTCACAGCATTGGATAACTGTACCACATCTAATTCTGGAACACTTCCATCACCCCAGACAACGCTGGTGAGCTGGTTAGTATTTTGTCTGGGGTCATCTGAGAAATGCCTCCATCAGATTGGCCTGTAGGCGAGTCTGTGGGCATTTTCCTGACGGATGACTGATGTGGGAGGGCGTTGTAGGTGCTAGACAGGTGGTCCTGAGTTGTATAAAACGAGATGAGGAAGGCATGAGGTGCAGCCAATGAGAAGTGTTCCTTCTGCGTCAGCGTCCTGCCAGAGCTCGCTCTTGCTCTGACTTCCTTTAGTGACAGAGTGTGACCTAAGAGTTGAAAGATGAAGGACACCGTTCCCTCCCCGGGCTGCTTTTCCCTCCTTTCTTTTTTGTTTTCCCTTTGGTTTTGGGTTTTTTTTTTTCAAGACATTGTTTCTCTGTGTAACGGTTCTAGCTATTCTGGAACTCACGCTATAGACCAGGCTGGCCTCAAACTCACAGAGATCCTCCTGCCTCTGCCTCCCGAGAGCCACCACAGCCAGCCGGAGTTGCTTTTGATCATAGTCTTTATCACAAGAATAGTAGACTATTATAGGGCAGACGGCCTATTAATAGTTGCTCCCGTCACCCGCTGTGTCTGCCAAAGTCCCTGAAAACCTCCAATCTACTTTCTAGATCCATGGATCTCTATTTTGTAATTTTTATACTAATTTGATAGTATAATATGCTACCTGTTAAGTCAAAATAGTTTTATTAAACACAGTCAAGAATTATTTATGTTGAAGCATGTATCATACGTAAAAAACATGCCATTGTATGAATACATATGCATCATTTTCTGATACCAGTTATGACATTGAGTATGGTTTTTTTTTCATCCTCTGGCACCAACTACTTACCTTCTCGCACACCACTGCCAGTCAATTCTCTGATACTAACTGGGTCGTGGACAACTCAGTTCACACACTAGTTATCCAGGATTAGCGTAGACCCCACCGTTTAAAGGCTCAGTCCCATGAGACTGCCTCCGTTTCAGATGCCAGCTGTAAGTGGGGTACTCAGACTACTAACATTTCCATTCAATTGCAAATTTTGGGGTCCCTCACACCTTCCTCAGGTGTGTGCTAGAATGACTTGTGGAACTCGGGAAAATATATTTACTGGTACCTAATAAAGCAAAAGGAAAAGATTCGGGGGGCAAGGGATGTGACACAAAGTGCCCATGTTCTGTCTGGGCATGCCACCCTCAATATAGTATAGTTGTAATATATATAATATTATATATAATAGCCAACCTGGATGCCCCTGGGCTCCTGTTGGTGAGTTTTTATAACCAATCTCTAGCCCTCTTCACCAATTAGAGATGGAAAGGGACTAGGGGGAAAAGATGCTGACGTTTCCTACTCCCCAACCACAGTTTTTGCCTCTCTGGTTACTAGACCTCGTCTGAAGTCTATCTACCCCCCCATTCCCCGCTTTGAGTCATCAGCACAAACTTACATGTGATCAAAGGGACATCTTACAGATAACAAAGACATTCCTAGTACTTGAGAAATTCCAAAGGCTTTAGGACCTAAGTGCCAGAAACCAAGGGCAGAAATCAAATGCATGTCTTCACTGTCCATATATCCTGACCACATTTTGAAACCCATTGACTGGTTGATGGATGATTGAGTTGCTCCCACAGTTGCACTGTTTTGAAATTACGCACAGACACATTTTTGTATGAACGCATGCTTTCAGTTCTCTTGGGTATAGACTAGGAGTAGAATTGTCAGGTCACCCGTTTCCCTCAGTAAGGAACTGCCAGTGTTCCAAAGAGACTACACCTTCTACGTTTCCCTGGACATTTTGTTTCTCTACATCCCTGTCAACACTTACTATTGTCTGCCTTCCTTATTTTAGGCATCTCTGTCCTTATGACAGGTACCTCATTGTGGGTGCCATATACATTTTGAAAAGAGTGTAAAATCAAACACAAAGAAGCCTCTAGCTTTGACATGCCCTCGGTGGCCCCAAAGCCCCAACACTTCAATAAGTAGCTCTTTACTGAAAATGCTTGCCAAATGTTGGCCTAAGTTATCTGTTGAGTTAAGAGGGAAAACTAAAATCATAGTCACAATAGTTATGATAATAGTTAACATAAAAGTTAACACATCAGAAGTTCAAATGCAAATTATTTAGCTAATGACGAAATTTTTAAAATTTTTAGTTGTATGTGGAATATTTTTATTAAAAATAATCACGATTTGGGCCTGAGAAGATGCCTTAGTTGATAAAATGTTTGCTGAGCAAGCATGAGGACCTGAGTTCAGATCCCCAGTTACCAGGTAAGAAACTGGGCACAGCAGCATGCATCTACAACAGCATGCATCTACAACAGCATGCATCTACAACAGCATGTATCTACAACAGCATGCATCTACAACAGCATGCATCTACAGCAGCATGTATCTACAACAGCATGCATCTACAACAGTATGCATCTACAACAGCATGTATCTACAACAGCATGTGTCTGCACTCGCAGCACCGGGGAGACAGACAGGACTCTGGAAGATTACTAACCTGCCAGTGTAGCCAAACCAGCGAGCCCCAGGTTCATTGAAAAAACAAAGTGGATGAAAAAATGAGAGAGGCACCTGATGTCAGCCTCTGACCTCCACACATATGTGTACCCACATAGGGACAAGCATACACATCATTTTATACCAATCGTCAGTGTACAGTGGTTGCCAATATAAGAATCAGCATCATGCATAGTTGACATTCCTTCTAAATTTGGCATGTTAGAATTGTGTGGTTTTGTAAAACATTTCTCAGTCACCACATATGACTGCACTCTGTTAATTCACGGGTGTCTCCAAAACCATGAACTAGAGTATAAAGAGAAGCAAGCACATGGTCTTTTGACACTGCTGGGGTAGACACTTCATTATGCAAGAAAATCCTGCATTCACATTCTCTGAGAGAAAGGTTTGACAAGTTAATTAATTTGTCTTTCTCTACTGAAGTGCTCTGCTGCTAAAATCCACAGGCTCGCGGCAGTGGACCCAGTTCCAACCTCAGAAGCTGCACAGCTCTTATGCCTACTCAGCATTGGACGGAGACACCTTTCCTTGGACAGCCTCAGGGTAAGCAGAGCAGAGAAGCAATTCTCCGGGACTGGAGAGGCATTAGTCACAGAGTGAATGTCAGGCCATGGGTTGTTGGTAACAGGACTGGGGCTTAGCTCAGGTCTGAAAGCCAGCCTGTATTATTGTATTAGAAGATATTGAGGGATTGTTATTCATTTTCTTAGGTGTGATAATGGTGTTACAGTCATTTTTAAAAGTCGTCTGCTAACGCTGAAGTATTTATGGTTGAGATAAAATGATGCCTGGGATTTGCTTTAGAATACTGCAGCAAAAAGCATCAGGGAGATTTATGAGATCAGATTGGCAAGTATTTAATATTCATAATTGTCGAAACGGGTGGTGATTTATAAGGGTTCCTTTAACCATTCTTTCTACATTTTATGTCTCTAATGTTTCATAATATAAAGTTAAAAATAATGAAATGGACAAGGACAGAAAGATTGTGGGACAAGGGGAGGCACAGCAGGGGAGGGAGGGAAGGGCCCAGAGATGTTCCATAATCCCTGACTTGCTTCTCCCTGAGAGTCAAGGAGAAATACAGGACACTCCAGAAGGGGGCTAGAACCCCAATGCAAGGACCTTTACGTTCATCCAGCTCTATAAAAATATGATATCAGGCTGGGAAGAGCTCAGAGACCTAGAACCCACATAAAGAACTGGACGTGATGGTGTGCACTTGTAATCCCAGTGCTAGGGGATGGAGACAGGTGGGTCTATGAGGCTCACCGCCCAGCCAGCCTAGCCTACTTGGCAAGCTCCAGTAAGGGACTGTATCTCAAAGAAGTAATGTGAATGGCTCCTGAAGACTAAAACCTGAGGGAGGTTATCTTTCATGCCCATGTACACACACGTGCACTTGCCTGCATACAACATGCATACATACACACAACCTGGGATGATATCTTTTGGACCTGAAGTAAGGGCCTGATTAAATCTCCCAGATTCTAGTAGTACCTAACATCAGCAAACAGCATGGTACTTTGATCAGGGCTGTTCTGTGTTTGCCCGCCCTTCCACAAAGACTCCTGCTTGTGATGACAAGTGAGGTCTTAAGACAGAACCCTGACATCAATGTTTTTTTTTTAGCTTCAATCCTAACCTAAAGTCAGGAGGTAGTTTAGGCAACCAAAAGAAGTATAAAGAAATACTTTAGCAAACACCTAGGTACCACTACTCTGCCTCCAAATTTAACATTGTGTACTCTTAAGACCTACCTCTTTCTTTCTTCCTTTCATTCTTCCTTCCTTCTTTCCTTCTTTTCTTTCTTTCTTTTAAAAAGATACATTTATTTCTATTTTATATGTATAGATGTTTTGTCTGCATGTATGTCTGCGTACCATGTTGTGCAGTGCCCATAGAGGCCAGAAGAGGGTGCCAGATCCCCTGAAACTGAAGTTGCAGGTGGCTGTGAGCCGCCATGTGGGTGCTGGGAATGGAACCAGGGTCCTCTGCAAGGACTGCTGAGCCATCTCTCCAGCCCCACAAATGACAATTTGTGCCTGTTTTTCTAAGCACATACATAAGAGTTTCTATTTAGCGGCCAGTAGAATAGTTGTTGATTTCTAGGGTATGTGCATAGTATGTTTAGCAGCTTTTCTAAAAGTGGTTATATGAGATTCTCTGCCATACCACATTCTGATTTTCCTGCCCATCTGTAGAGCATGAAATAATGTATCCTGCTCTCTTAATCTTCCATATCTCTGATTACTTATGAATTTTACTTGTCTGTGACCTCCCTATTTGACTGTCCCATCCCCTGTCTTGTTCTATTGCTGTGAAGAGACACCATGACCACAGCAACTCTTATAAAAGAGTTCATTGGGGCTGGCTTACAGTTTCAGAGGTTTAGTTCATTGTCGTTATGGCAAGGAGCATGGTGGCACACAGGCAGACATGGTGCTGGAGAAGGAGCTGAGAGTTCTACATCCAGATCCACAGGCAGCAGGAAGAGAGTGAGCCACTGGGTCTGGCTTGGGCTTCTGAACCGTCAAAGTCCCACCCCCAGTGACACTTCCTCCAACAAGACCACACCTCCTAATTCCTCCCAAGTAGTGCCACTCCCCAATGACCAAGCATTCAAGTCTATAAGCCTATGGGGGGCCATTCCTATTCAAACCACTACACTCCCTCATTGTTGGTCCTTCTCTCAATGACTTACAGACGTTCTTTATATCTTCTCTAAACTGGCTCTTCATTAGCTTCATGGTCACACAAGCTGCCTCCCAATGACTAGATTTCTCAATTGTAATGTATTTTGTGCAGGAAAGTTTTTACTTTTAATGTGGTTGAACTTATCTATTTTCAACATTATGATTGAGTCTTTTCCCTTGAGTCTAAGACACATTTTCCTACCCCAAGGTGGATATAGAAAGCTCTCTTTTGTCTTCCTCTAAAGTTTTTAAAAATTTTAACTTTCACAATTAGATCTTTAGCCTATCTGGGATTTTTTTTTTCATAAGATATAAGCATTAGGCATAATATTTTTAATGACAGTAGTTCTGTTTTAAATGTTAATTAATTTTATTTGGTTTTTTTATTATTATTATTATTATTATTATTTTATTGGGGGGAGGTGAGCAGGCCATGGAACATGTGTGGTGGTCAGAGGACAAATTTTGAGAATTTTTATCTCTTTCCACCTTGTGTTTGAGGCAGGTCTTCTCTTATTACTTCTGCCACACTGCATACTCCAGGCCTGTGAGCTTCTGAGAGTCCCCTCTCCCTTCCCTCATCTCACCGTAGGAGCCCTGGGATTATAGCTGAGTATTGCTACCTCTGGCTTTACATGTGGGTTGTGGGGGATTGAACTCAAGCTTGCATGGCAAACAGATTTACCCACTGAACCATCACCCCAGCCCTTAATCCTTCTTAGAAGGTGGTTCAGTGACTGCCTTACTGCCTCTCCACCCTCACCCCACCCCACACACATACTTTTTCCTTTCTAAGCCCTTGTTCTTGCCTGACACCATGGTGCTGCTCAGGGGGGTCTTGGCTATTTTGATACTTCACGATTCCATATAAATGTTAGAATCACATTGTTGTTTTCCACAGAAAACCCTGTTACCTAGAATAGTAATGATTTTATATATTAGTTTAAGAATAACCACCATTCTTCTGTTATCTCCTTGTTTTTACATTGCTTCAATGATGTTATGTAATTGTTTCTATTAAATGATCCCCCAAAGTTGGATAGGTCTCAGTTATGTTAGACTTACTTACCTTCTAGTTTTGTTTTGCTTTTTTGACAACTATTTTAAAATTGTGGGACTGGGGAGCTGGCTCAGTCAGTACAGTGCTTGTCACACATGCATAACCCAAGTCTGGGTCCCTAGCACCTGTTAAAAAAATCTGGGTGTAGGAGTGCATGCCTGTAATCATAGCACTGTGATAGGGGGAGCCTTTGAGTTCACTGGCTAGATAGTCTTGCTGAATCCATCAGCTCTGGGTTCAGTGAGAGACCCTGTCCCAAACAATAATGTGGAGATCAATTGAGGGAAACATCTGACTTCGACCTCTGCCCACTTAGTGTGACGCCCCACCCCCAGCTCATCCATATCTGCTTCTGCTTCTCTAAGAGAATGAGACCCATGTGAACATGTGGTCTGCCTTTTTCCTTCCCCCACAAGCTGTCAGCTTGCCTGTCAGAACTGATTCTTGCAAAACCATCAGGAATTAGAAAATATTCATTTGTTGGTCCCCTTTCCTCACTGGGGAAAAAAATCATAGGAAACATCTGCATTGCACTCATCCCTTCCCCGCCCCACAAATGCTCTTCTACTCTCTCTCATCTTGTTTCCTCCCTACATCCCTTCTGTGTCCTCCATCCTTCCTTCTTCTAGCTAGGAACCTTAGACATGGTATTTCTCGTACTCCTTTACATGTAGACTGCTGTCTTCAACATAACTTTTACCAAACCCATGTACTCAAATGTTATTTGGAAGGAAGAAGTGAGGGAAGGCTGTCTTACAGCTGCTTCTGGCAATCAATGTTGAGAATGTCTAAAAGTTGGAGCGGCAGATGGGAGTTCTGATGGCTAGTGGCCAGTTTCGTAGGATGAGGGTCAGTCATAGTGTCTGCAGAAGTGATAGCAGAGGCTAGATCCTGATAGTTTTAGTGATGTGGTCATTTAGTCATTAGCCTGGTAGCAGAACCCTTACTTCCACACCCCAGATCCAAACAATCTACCTCATTCTTTGTATGAAGTCTCTTTCTGCATAAAATATTTGGGGCAGTTTCTTTGGTCCACGCTGAACTGATTAATTCATACACCCTCGGGTAGAGACCCTGATTATCTAATGTGGTTTAGTTCAACTCAGTCTGCACTGAGCCCACTCTGTCCCAGCCCACCACTTTCCTGGGTCTGGCCTTCAGTAGTTCCTAGTCTTTCTGCAGGCATGAACTCATAGCAGAGGTCTGTAATAGTATGTTCTGTTTATTAGGTGATCACCAAACACTAGACATAATGGGACATTGAAACCAATATCTTTCTGATCACAACCCTATAATGTAGAGTATTAGGGAGGCTATCTGTTGTAGAATACTAGTTAAAGATGTGTCACTTTTGTTTATGCTGTGGAACATTTGTTTAATGACGCAAAGATGTGTTGCATTATTTTATGTTGTATTTGTTTAACTCTGTGAAGCTGTGTTACTTTGCCTGTCTAAAACACCTGATTGGTCCAATGATGATCTGAACGGCCAATAGCAAGGCTGAAGAAAAGATGGGCAGGGCTGGCAGGCAGAGAGAATAAACAGGAGGAGAAATCTGGGAAGGGAAGATTGAGGAGTGAGAAAGAAGAGGAGAGAAAGACTCTGGGGGCCATCCACCCAGCTACACAGCAAGCCATGGAGAAAGAAGTAAAGAAAGATATACAGAAATAGAGAAAGATAAAAGCCCAGAGGCAAAAGGTAGATGGGATAATTTAAGTTAAGAAAAGCTGGTTAGAAACAAGCTAAGCTAAGGCTTGGCCTTTATAAGGAATAATAAGACTCTGAGTGTCTATTTAGGAGCTGTGTGGCAGGATTCCAAAAAGTCAAAAGAGCAAAAGAGTTTAAAAAAAAAAACTACAACTATCTATCATCTATCTATCTATCTTTATCTACTTATCTACCTATCTACCTACCTATCTATCTATCTATCTATCTATCTATCTATCTATCTATCTATCTATCTTTATTCACTTATTGAGACAAGGTCCCATGTATCCCAGTCTGGCTGTCAACTCATTATGTAACCATATGATGATCTTGAATTTCTAATCCTCCTGCCTCTACCTCTGGAGTGCCTAGATTATGGACATTCACCATGATGCATAGTTTATAGGGTTCTGGGTATTGAATCCTTACCACATCTCTAGACCCAGGGAATGCTTTTAGTTATAGCATTAGATGTTCCCATCACTTAAACAAGGAGTGAGGCCTAGGGATACAGCTCAGAGATGGAGTGCTTACCTATCATGTGCAAGGCACTGCAAAATGAAATCAAAAGGCGTAAGAGTGAGGAGTTTGTTTTTCCCATTAGAAACAGATGTTTGTGTTGGGAAATTCAGAACTATACGGTTGATCAAAGTCATCATGAGGAACTGTGCTTCTTGTGTCCAGTCACCTCACCTGTGTGTGTGTGTGTGTGTGTGTGTGTGTGTGTGTGTGTGTGTGTGTGTGTATGCGCGCGCGTGCGTGTGTTTCTTAAATTGAGTAGGATAGATTCTGTACCTCTAGGCAACCCAGCCAAGTTGTAGACAGAAAGAAGAGAGATTGGGGGAGACAAAAGACAAGCAGTAAAGTGCAGCATCTGGTCCTTTCCAGCCATTGTCTTTGTATTCAGGAAAGGAAGGTCCCTTATAGTCTACTGTCCGCATCTCATTACCAGAGATGTCTTGGCTCCATCTCCCTGCAAGATAGAGTGGGGATGTGAGGACTCCACTGTGGGCTGAAGAGATGGCTTGTTGAGTAGAGCGCTCGCTGTGCAAGTGTGAGGAACTGAGTTCAGATCCTTAGCACCCACATAGAAGCTCAGAGTGGGGGTTCAGTGTAACCCCAGTGCTGGGGAGGACCCTTGGGATGTTTTGGTAACCCAGCATAGCTGGAATAGAAAGTTAGGTCAGAGAGAGACTGTCTCAAAAAATAGAGGAAGATATCCGATGTTGATCGGTGGCCTCCATGTGCACACACAGGCAAGTTCACCCCCTCCACACATACTCGCCCCCACACACAGAGAACTTCACTTGTTATATTTTGTTTTAGAGTAAAGTAGGAGAAAATATGGTTAAAACAGGTGCTAAGTCAGCTGATCTATACTATCTGCCAGGAAAAGTGCTATTCCAAATGAGCAATCTCAGACTAAGAGAAGATATGATATGCCTAAATTAACTCATCAACCTATAGGCCTAGATACTATGTTAGTCTATTTATGTGACACATGTTTTGCATGAAGAGAGGGAACATTGTCAATGTCCATTCTAGTCTGCTTGGCCTCAGTACTTCTTAAAGGCACGCCTAGACTTTAGACAATGTCTTAGTTAGAGTGTCTATTGCTGTGATAAAACACCGTGACCAAATACAACTTGGGGAGGAAAGGGTTTATTTCAACTTACAGCTACAGTCCATCATGAAGGGAACCCAGGGCAGGAACCTGGAGGCAGGAACTGAAGAAGAGGCCGTGGAGGAGTGCTACTTACTAGATTGCTCCTCATGGCAGTCTCGGCTTGTTATAGCTCTCAGGACCACCAACATGAGCGGTGCCCTCCCACATCCGTCATCCATCAAGAAAATGCCTCACAGGCCAGTCTGGTGGGAAATTTTTCTCCTTCTTCCCAAATAACTCTAGCTTGTGTCAAGTTGATATAAAATTAGCCAGCACAGACAGGAAGTGAAGGTTTAAGGAAGTTGTAGAGTTATTGATATCACTAAACCCGGAGATTGAGAAACTTACCTTATCGTGTGAGTGGCTTTTCTGGGGCTGAGATACACAGCTGTGAAGAGAGTTCCCAGAGGAAGTCACTACAGTCAGCATCGCCTACTCATTAGTCACCTGCCAGGGAGCGTGAAGGCGACTAGAATTCTGTTTACCACTGAGATGATGCAGGGTGTGTGGTAGCTGTTTCCGATAGTTCAGAAAAGAAGTAGGAACTGGTACGTGTCCAGGAAAGGTTTAGAAAGAGGAAGGTTCCTTGTATTTGATTACTTGGCTTAAGTGTTCAGGGAGAGTGTAGCTGTGGACAGTGTGGACAGAGGGACTTGGATAACTGATGGCATCACAGAGCACTGAGATGGTCCTAAGAATAGTGGCTACTTTATTACAAAATGTCAATGAATATAACTGTGAAAAAACCTGAGAGATTTTTAAAAGGAAAAAAAAAAGAAAGGAACAATGTGCTATGTTCATGGATTGGAAACCAATATTGTAAAAATATTTTTCCTAATTTAATAAGTAAGTTCAGTAAAACCCAACTGAAACCACAATACTTTTTCATGAAGTATTATAGTCTGGATTCTAAATTTTGTGTGTAAATGTAAAAGGTTAATTTTTCCAAAATGTTCATAAAAGAACAAGATAAGGGATAGAATGCTTGTCTAGTGCACCCAAGGCTCTGGGTTTGAGTCTCAGCACTCAAAAAACAAATTAAGAGGACTTCTAGAAGAGATCAAGATTTATTATAAGGTGAGGCTAGAGAGATGACTCAGTGGTTTAAAGCACTTGTTGTTCTTGCTAAGGATGTGAGTTTGGGTACCAGCATCCACATGGTGGCTCACAACCATCCAT